AGGCCCAGCGCACGCACAAGACATGGCAACCGTCCAGGGGCACACCAGGCACGCATAGATTGCAACAGCGCTCACAGATATACTGATTATCTTGCACAGGGTGTCTAGAGCTCCGACCACTTTATTCCGCGTCGCACCCCACCCGCGTCCCCAGCGCCAGAGTGGGACCCTCGCGCCGTGGCTCTCTGCCCCGAGCCCCCCCGCGTCCCCAGCGCCCCAGCGGGAGCGCCGCCCACCGCCCACTCCGCCACGAACGCTTTCTTCCGCGTCGCACCCCCCCCCGCGTCCCCAGCGCCAGAGTGGGACCCCCGCGCCGTGGCTCTCTGCCCCGAGCCCCCCCGCGTCCCCAGCGCCCCAGCGGGAGCCCCGCCCACTGCCCCCTCCGCCACGAACGCTTTATTCTGCGTCGCACCCCTCCCCCGCGTCCCCAGCGCAAGAGTGGGACCCCCCGCGCCGTGGCTCTCTGCCCCGAGCCCCCCCGCGTCCCCAGCGCCCCAGCGGGAGCGCCGCCCACCGCCCCCTCCGCCACGAACGCTTTCTTCCGCGTCGCGACGCACACACCTCCCCCACCTCCCTCCCTGCGTCCCCCAGCGCCCCAGTGGGGGCTCCGCCCCGTGACCCCCTCCGCCCCGACAATTTAATCCGCGTCGCGACGCACACCACCTCCCCCCTATGCCCCCCACCGTCCCCAGCGCCCCAGTTGGACCCCCGCCCCGTGGCCCTCTGCCCCAAACCCCGCCCAGTGCCCCTTCCGCCCCGACCATTTTATTCCGCGTCGCGACGCACATCACCTTCCCCCCCTCCTCTCCGCGCCCCCAGCGCCCCAGTGAGACCTCCGCCCCGTGCCCCCTCCGCTCCGAGCACTTTATTCCGCGTCGCGACTCACGCCACCTCCCCCACCCCTCCCCACCTGGGATTCGGGCCCCGATGCTGGGCCCCGAGGGGCGATGTCTTGCCCCCTTTTTATCCCTCCTCCTCCTCCCCTCCTCCTCCTCCTCCTCCCCCTTCCTTTTCGCGCAAGATCCATGGCACACGTGCCACTTGTTTTCCGCGTGATGGGGGGAGGAGCGGAGACGGGGAAGGGGGAGAGGGAGAAAGGAGGGGGTGGGGTTCGGAACCAGAGCAGATCCGGAGCATCGCAAAAAGAGAGGGCGGGCGGGAGCAGGAGAGAAGGGGGGGGGAAGACGAGGGGAAGAGCGAAAGAGATGAAGGGCAGCGGGGAGGCCATGTCTTCCCCTGGGCAGGGAGGATTCCTCTTTGGCCCCAGGGACCGCCCAAGCCCGTGGGAGGCCCTGCGTGCGGCGTCGGCGGAAGAGCCATTCTTTTTTGCGCGGCCGCGGAGGCAAGTGCTGCGGCCGGTGTGCGGCCGGGGCAATGACAGACGAACGGTCTCCAGGAGCATGAGGCCCTCCGCCTGCCCAAGCCGAGGAGCATGCGAGGGTGTCCCCCAGGATACACCACAGCATCCAGCAAGCACGAAGAACACTAGGGTACCCTCACCGAACCTACCTCGATCTCATACTGAAGGGGCACCAGGACACACAAATAAATACACAGAAATAAACATATGTCCCATCTTTTCCTATATTTTCTGGGTTTTTGTCTTCCCCCCCACTTCCCATATTTTCTCATATTTTCTGGGTTTTTGTCTTCCCCCCCACTTCCCATATTTTCCCATATTTTCAGTGGAATCGACGATTAATTGTGTCTGTGTATTTCTTTCCCTCCTGACATACCTCGGTCCGAAGGTACGCGTGGACGTTGGGAGCGCGCGTTGGGTGGGATGACCGGGGTGTCGCGTCGAAAATCGTCACTGGTGGATTGGCCTCTCTGGTGGTGCTGGTCCCGCGGTCTGAATGCTTGGGCTCGTCCGCGCGCCAGGCGGGTTCGATGTCGGTGGCAACTCATGGGAGCTTCCTGTACCGTTTTGCCGGCTCTTGCGAATCGACGCTAATCGACGCTAGTCGACGCTAATCGACGCTAAATCGACGCTAATCGACGCTCACCGACGCTAAATCGGCGCTATCTCATCGTCTCCCAGACGCTAATCGACGCTAAAGACGGAATTAACAGGGTACGCCAGGCTTCCATGATTTGATACCGAACGGTTGCGTGATTTCCTTTGGGCTCGATGGTGAACCAGTGTCCAGGTGTGCTGTCCGCAGCGGCATTGGAGAGCCTTGCGGAGTTCGTTGGGGTGGTCGGCGTGCTTGTGGTAAGCACGGTCGAGCTCGGCGGAGGCGACCGAAGGGAGCTGGTCGTGTGCTGGAGTGGCACCAGCAGCGCCTGCTTCATCTTGGGGAGTGGCCGCGCAGGCACTCCTGCGAGTGAGCTCGGAGTCGGTGGCCTTCTGCTTCTCCCTGGAGGCCGCCGAAGTGGCTCGCCGCGAGGAGCCAGGCGGCCCGCCATTGCCAGCCGGCCGCTGGCCGGGGGGGGGGGGGGGGTGGAAGGTGGTACCCTGCCGGCGGCTGCTGGAAAAGTCTCCAGCCTTGCCAGGGCAGGGGGCGCCAGAGAGCCAGATGCCAGGGCTGACCGGGCACGGGGATGGCTTGAGCCGAGACGGGGGCGAGAGAGGGAGAGACAGCGAGAGAGAGAGAGAGGGAGAGCGAGCGAGACGCACTCTGTCCGACGACGTACCCACTGATGCCACCGCGGTCCGTGTCCCCAGGCGAATGGGGACGATCCCTCGCGCTGTGAGAGCCCGTGGGCGTCCTGGGCCCCCGAGAACGCTTCAGGGAGAGAGAGAGAGAGAGAGAGAGAGAGAGATAGAGAGAGAGAGAGAGAGAGAGCGAGAGAGAGAGAGAAGGGGAGGCACGCACAGAGAAGGGGAGCACATGTTCGAGAGAATCGCACTCTTAGAGAACGGGGCAATTTGGCCGCTAGCTTCCTCGAACAAAAACGCCTCGGCCAATTTCTGCTACCAACGCTGGAGCGGCGACCGTGCTCAAGAAGCTGGGGCGGCTCTCTGGCAAGCTGGTCAGGAAGGGCTGGCCCAGCTTTTCGAGGAGGGTTCTTGATCAAAAGCTCGACTGCAGAGAGGCAGAGAGAGAGAGAGAGAGAGAGAGACAGATACAGTGGAGGCCAGTCCACAAGAATCCTTCCACAAGAAACCCAACCCTGAGACCCCAGGAAGCCCACTGATTTCTGGTGTGGGAACGCCACGCCTTCCACAGAAAAACCGTCGACACCCAAGCGACCCAGGGCACCCTGGAGGCAAAAGCAGGGCGTCCCTTGGCATGGGCCTCCACTGTAGGGACACTGAGAGCGAGAGGGAACAAGAGAGAGAGAGAGGGAACGAGAGAGAGAAAAGGAGAGAGAGAGAGGGAAAGAGAGAGAGAGAGAGGGAAAGAGAGAGAGGGACACTGCGAGAGAGGGAACACGAGAGAGGGACAGATAGAGAAAGAGAGAGAGAGAGAGAGAGAGAGAGAAAGAGACGGCGGCAGCGCGCGCGAGATGGCAGGGGCCAGCGCGCGCCGCTCCTCGAGCACGGCTTGCAGCGGTGCAGCCTCCCCAGGCGATGGGACGCCCCGCCCTCCGAGAGTCACGTCGTCGGCGTCGTCTTCGGCGACGTCGTCTACGTCGTCGTCGTCGCCGTCGCCGTCGTCGTCGTCGTCGTCGTCGAATCATCGTCTTCGTCGGCGGCGTCGTCGCCGTCGTTTTCGTCGTCTTCGTCGTGCCCACCAACGTAGCACCAGCGAGCTTGCTGATGGCATCGAGCGCTTCGTGACGAACCTGTCAGGGTCGCGCATTCAGGAAGAGGAGGAAGGGGGATGGGCAGTAAGCTTGAGGACGGCGTGGGTGAGGAGGAGGGGAGGAGAGGGAGGAGGAGAGGGAGGAGGAGGAGGAAGAGGAGGAGAGGAGGAGGAGGAGGAGGAGGAGGAGGAGGAGGAGGAGGAGGGGGAGGAGGAGGAGGAGAGGGGAGGAGGAGGAGGGAGGGGAGAGGGGGAGGAGGAGAGGGAGAGGAGGAGAGGAGAGACACTCCCGCGGTCGCAGGTCGCCCCCCTCGGGGGCCGCCGCGCCCGAGCGCCCGCGGCCGCGGGCACTCAGCGCGGGAGCCAGCGGCGCCGCCAGCTCGGCGCTCGGCGCCTGCGTCTCGTCGGGCGCTGCCCGCAGCCGCTGCGGCCTAACCCCTCGCCGCGCAGGGGGTAAGGCGGCTAGGGCGAGGGGGAGGGGGAGGAGGAGGAGGGGGAGGGGAGGAGGAGGAGGAGGAGGAAAAAGGAGAGGCAAAGGGTAAGGAGGGAGGGGGAGGCCCCTCCCCCGCGCTGCCCTGCCCCCCGCCCTCCCAGAGAAGGCGAGATCGCACGACACGTCGTACATGAACTTGGGCTGGCCCCGCACGTACGCGATCGAGGCCTCGCCGCGCAAATGCAGCGCCACCCCCTCCCCAGTGGCGCTGGCGCAGCAGGCCGCCCCAAACTCCTCGGCACCGAGCCTCGCCCGGCGCCCCTGCACGCGGCCTCTGGGGGTCCCAGAGCTGTGTGGTAACACACACGGCGGCTGCCTCGCAATTCGCAAGGACCTCACCACAGGGTCCGTCACCGCACGGCCTGGGGATCGGAGGCCCCAGTCGCCCGAGACATCCGGTGAGAACGGCCAGAGTCCCGAAACCATGCGGAGACCCCCGATCCCCAACGACTCGCCACACGGTGTGGTCACCACGCCGTTTGGGAGCCCCAAGGCCTGCTCTCGCTGCGCCCCCCTCCCCCGAGACAACCAGCGGCGTCGTCACAAAATCACAATGGCGTTTTTCGGGCGGTTCTTCCGCAACTGGGTCTGTCTGTGAACCGCCTCCTCGGCTAAATGCAAGAGCCACCCTAGGCAAAAGTGACCTTTGCGAGGCTTGAGGGGACCGCGGGGGAGGCTAAATCCAAGCGCGCGGGCCAGTGCTGGGGGAACCCCTGTGGGCCCACACCAAAATCACTTTGGCGAAGGTTCACTCACTACGCGTAGCCAACCTCCGTGCACCGGGACAGTGGCGACCCCGGGCAGGTACCCAGTCGCGGGGATGGGGTTGAGCGCTCTGGGCACCGCGCATCGCAAAAATCACGGCGTCGGGGGTCTGGGTCCGAATCTGTTCTGCCTGGTCGCTCGGTCGATGAGGGTAGAATCTGGGAGGACATACCACGTGTGAGGCGAGAGAGGAACTGGGCCGAAGGGCAGCACTCATCAGCAGCAGGTGGGCAGACCCAGGTCGCCCTTCCGACAGGGATGTTGACAGAGTCCCAGCACTCGATGTCGCACTGCTCGAGCCCATGCACGATTCACGATTACGTACTAGCCCCCCGCTCTGCGGCCAACGGGAAGCTGTCCACTGCAACCGCGTGCGCACATGCATTTCTACAAGGCAGCGAAGGAACGAAGAACACACATGAGATGTTAATCTATACTAGAACCACGCGCGCTTTGCGCGCGATCCGGTTCTAGCACGGGCCGCGGCGACGCTATCGCAGGACATGCGTGGCATCGTTCCTGCAACCCCTGTCGTAGCATCTGCAGGTACACTTGCAGACACATGCGCGCCAGGATGTGTTTGGGCACCGAATGCGGCGCTCCGGATCCCTGTTCCTCGGAGCTCGCGCGCCCTCGAGTAGGACCTCGGCGACGTGTGGAGAGTGCCGGAGGCTTTTAAGATTTCTATTGCGACTGATTTTCTGACGCCGCCCACAAACTGGAGGAGGAGCTGTTGTCAAGGGAGACCGAAGATGGATGAGGAAAAACGGGGTGCCCGAGTTTGGCTTTGTAGTTTTCTCAACTCGCCAATTCTAGTCGAACCTCCTGCGCAGCATGAAACAAACAGCTGCTGAACAACTGAACCAGGTTACGTGAGGTTGCACCCCCCAGGGTCTCCTGAATTGCGTGGTGGAAACTACTCGACACTTCTTGGGCTTGCCTCCTAGCTTTGCGGCAAGCCGGTCAAGCAACGCTGGCCCAATTTTTCGGGATGGGGTTTCTGAATTAGATGCTCGACCTGCCGCCCCGCCCCCCCGCCGTGACGGCTCGTGTCCTTCGCCGCTCTGCCGGCTCGCCTCCGGAGCCCGAGCGCACCGCCGGGGAGGGTCGACCCGCGCACCCGCGCCGCCGGCCCGGAAGCTCTCGCCGAGCGCCGGGCGACAGAGTGGACCTCGACCCGCCAGGGGCCAAAGCGGGCACCAGGGCGCCTGGGCAGGGACAGCGCCTGCCCATCGCGAGGACCGAGGAGCGAGGGCCGATCGAGGATCGAGGATCGATCGAGGATCGGAGGCTCGAGGAGAGCGTCTGCCCGTCGAGGGCCGAGGAGCGAGAGGACCGCTCGAGGACCGAATCTCGATCGAGGGTCGGAGGCTCGGAGGACCGAGGCTTCCCCCCCCTGCTGCGCGCCCCGAGAGGCGGCGCCCGCGCCTCGCCGCGGACGGGGCCCACCTCCGCGCGGGCGGCTCTCCCGCGCTGCTCGCGCGCGCCGCCGCCGCGGCCAGACGCTGGTGGCGGGGGCGGCCAGCGGCGGCGGTGGGCGCCGACGACAGTTCCGAGGCCGACGCCGACGCCGCCGCCGCTGCCGCCGCCGCCGCCGACGACGACGACGGTTGCCGTCTTTGTTGCCGCCGCCACCTGCGTCGCCACCCGCACCTGGGGCCGTCGCCGCCAGGGCCGCCGGCCGCCGTCGCCGCCGTCGTGGCCCCCACACCGCCGGAGCCTGGCGTGGCGGGGAGAAGAGCATGACGCGCGCTCTCCATCACCTCCTGTTGGCTCCTGTTGGCTTCGATGTCGTCTGTTACCCATCGGTCGGAAGAGGTAGGTAGAAACATGAAGCAGGAACGTGTTGAAAGTAGATTGGGTGTCCGCCCGCCCCCTGAAGAGGACCGAACATGTGGAGCCACTCGATCATTGAAGTAGGAAGGCGCTTAAAGTAGATTGGTATGGGACTCCAAAAATACATACTGTCAACGACCGATTGGCACTGATGGCAAAGCCTGCAGTACAGCTGACGAGAAGCAATGCTTGGGGGCAAGATTGGCAAAAATTATCTGGCAGGCTGCGCCGTCCCCGTGGAAGCTCATCAAGCGCCCGCGCCCTGCCAGACGACCAGGACCGATCAGCCAGAGTGCTTCTTCGTACTCGCCTCCTCCTCCTCCTCCTCCTCGTCCTCCTCTTCCTCCTCCTCCTCCTCCTCCTCCTCCTCCTCCGCCACTTCCTCCTCCTCCTCCTCCTCATCATCTCCTCCTCCTCCTCGTCTCCTCCTCCTCCTCCCCCTCCTCCTCCTCCTCCTCTCCTCGCTCCTCCTCCTCCTCCCTCCTCCTCCTCTCCTCCTCCTCCTCCTCCTCCTCCTCCTCCCCCTCCCCCGATCCCGCTCTTCAGCATTCCGAGAGATCCCTCCGCGTGGCGGTTACGTCGAGCTCCGTAGCAATCCTGGGGAGGTAACAGGCGAGATCGAGTCCTTCTGAGCGCACCGCAGCGAACACACCAGGCGACACGCCCCCCCCCCCGTCAACCACACATCATCGACGCGCACAGGGGGGGTAGGGGGACGGGGAACGGCTTCTTAGAAGGAGCCTGCTTCTTCAAAGTCGCTGGCCTTGCATCTGCAGAGAAGGCCCGCGCCTTCTAAGAACCAAAGGTGATTCTAAGCAGCCTCCCCCCCTCCTCCCTACCCCCCTCTGCCCGTGGCCCGCGCGCTCTTCGCAGTGCAAGCGCTCGGCAGGCGAGCGACGGGGGGCAAGAGAGAAGGAGGCCTTCTCAGAAGGCAGCGGACTTCTCAGAAACCCTCGCGCCTTCTGAGCATCTATCTGTGCCGTTAGGGAAGGCTTACACAACTGCTCAGAAGGCCGGGGGACTTCCAAGCCTTCAGAGACAGCCTTTTCCTCATCACTTCCCCCCCGTTCGCCGCCGAAACACATGTCGGCTCCTTTGGCCACACACACGTTCGGCAGCATGGCCTTCAGGGATGAAGGGCCAACTCCGGCAGACACGGCTCGGTCCGACGGGGCCGCCGGATACCAGACACATCTTCCATGATTTCGGGGATGGGCCAAGCAGGCAGGTGGGGGCAATGCCTCGGCCACGCCCTGGGCCTCCTCAGCGAGGTGGGGCGGGAGGGAGGAGGATAAGGAGGAGGAGGAGGAGGAGGAGGAGGAGGAGGAGGAGGAGGAGGAGGAGGAGGTGGAGGAGGAATTTGAGCCAGGGGCTCCAGGGCCTTCGCCGTCTCGAGAGTCCTTGGGTTGTGTGGGGCTAGGCCTGGGCCCCTCTTCGGGCCATCGCGTCGCCCCTCCCTGGCTCTGTGGAATCCTGCCCACGGGCCTGCTCCTCCTCCTCCTCCTCCTCCTCCTCCTCCTCTCCTCCTTCTCCCACTCCCCCTCCCCCTCCCCCTCCCCTCTCCTCCCCCTCCTCCTCCTCCTCCCTCCTCCTCCTCCCTCCTCCTCCTCCTCCTCCTGGTGCAGGGCGGGGTGAGACTGAACCGCAGAAGCCGAAATCCGTTCTACTCCGCGGCCCAGCGCCGACCAGAAAATTCGCCGGCCCAACGGGCCAGAGGCGTGCTAAGATCTCCAGAAACTACTTCACAATATTTCTAGTTTTCGAGCGCGGGGCGGCCCCTGGGGGGACCCGGACGAAAAATACCCTGGCTGATCCCCGGCCGGGTCCCGGGCGATCCCCAGGGGGGAAGCTATTTTTCGCCACCCCTCACGAGGATCGTGGCCTCCGAGGGGGAGGCTGCAATCGACTACCCCCCCAACCCGCCCCAAGGGGAGCCCAATACGCCGCCAAGGAGCGCCAAGACGCTCCCAAGAAGCCCCCAAGAAACCCCCAAGACGGCCCCAAGAGGCCCCAAATAGCGCTCCCTGGCCGGCGGAATGAGCGAAACGATTAAATAATCTTCACCCATTGATCCGAAACGGCCCCATGTTCGAGGTACTGGACCGGGCCATGCTTCCTTCTCTCCACGAGCTCCTCTTCCTCCTCCTCCTCCTCCTCCTCTTCCTCCTCCTCCTCCTCCTCCATCGTATCCCTCCCCTCCTCGTCCCGCGCTCGCCAAAGCGCGCGCGGCGGGCAGAGAGTGATGATGACAGAGGGGCGAACAAGAACTATGGCATAGCGCGCTACGGGCATGACCCGACAGTGGGCGGCCCTCAACGCATAGAAACGAGAACGCGGGGCACGCCGACGGGAAGGAGGAGGAGGAGGAGGAGGAGGAGGAGGAGGAGGAGGAGGAGGAGGAGGAGGAGGAGCCCTCCTCCCCCTCTTGGCGTCGCGCACAAGGAGGTAGGGGGAGGAGGGGAGGCTTCTTAGAAACATGCTGCTTCTTGGAAGGCGCCAGATCTACATCTACAGAGAAGGCCCACGCCTTCTAAGAAGCAGGGGTGCCTCTTAAGACGCCTTCCCCCCTCCATTATACCCCCCTTGTGCGCGCCGCCAGCGCTCTGTTGGGAAGGTCGCGACCGCATCCCCGAAACAAGCGTTTCCTCGTGAGCCGTTTTTTGCGGCCCCGTGCCATGCCCAGCACGGCCCCCCCCGCAGAAACCCCAAAATGGCACAAAACCGTACGTCGCGATTTGTGTCGCCGTCTTCTGGTGGGCCTAACCTTCTTGTGGCCACCTTCTGGGCCCAACCAGGAGTCGCCCCCAGGGACCACCCCCCCAGGTGCTTTCCGACGTGGCCTTAGGCGGGGGTCCAGCCGTGGCGGCGAAAAGGCTCCCCTTCCCCTCCAAAGAGGCCCAGCTCAGGGCCGCGAGGGTGCCGTCGAGGAGGAGCACGCCGCTCTGCAGCAGGAAATCTTTGGTCTCCACAAGGTCCGAGTCCTCAATGTCCACGGGCGGCGGCGGCGTAGCAACCAACGTAGGAGAAGTCGAAGACGACAGAAGGGAAGGAGTAGGTAAAGGTGGGCGTTCTCAGAGTCCTCGCCGGCCGTCTCAGAGAGCGCGACGACGGCGCCAGTGAGGCAATCCCTGTCGGGGCGGTGCTTGTGTCAGAGTCGGACGAGACGGCTGGCGTGAGCCTCGGGGACGCCGGTGGCGAAGATGATGAGGGCGAGGACGAAGCGCGCGCGGTTGTCGCGCTGACGAAGCGCAGCGCGTTCAGGAAGAGGAGCACGGAGCGGGGCCGCCAGCTGCGTGGCGCGAACGCCCGCCACTGCGCAGCTCCGAAAGCTCGACGGCGCGAGCGGCCGAGCGTCGAAAAAGCGGGCTTCGTTGTACATGTGGTAGGCCACCGTCATCGCCGAGAACGCCTCGAGCGAAGGCTGGGAGAGGCCCCGCCTCGTCGGCCAGTCCAGCGGGAAGGGTCGACCCAGCGCGCTCCGCAGGGCACGGTGCAGCACTGGGCACCTCGCGTAGTGCTGGAAAGAGTCGAGTTTCCCCAAGCAGCCGAAGGCGCATGCTCTCTGAAAGTGCGGGGAGATAACGCGGGCGGACGTCGTCCACCCGTCAGACCAGGTGCGCAGGACGGCCCAAGCCCACGAACATGGGCAGCGGCGAGGAACTCCTTGGCACGCGTCCCAGTCGATGGCGGGGGGATGCGCTGGGAAAGGCCGGCGAACTTGCGGAGGCGGAGCACGAGCAGAGCGGTGATCGGGCGCGCGGACAGCGACGGGGCACGAGCGGCGAGGTGCGCAGCACGCTGGGGCCGTGGACGCGCATGCACAGCTTGAAGGAGAGCATCCTGAGCGGCCGCGACAGCAGCGGGACCCAACGCTGCCAAGGGGCCGCGCGGCGGGGACCCAGCAGCAGCGGCCTCGAGGTTATCCGCGAAGGCGGGGGACTGCCAAAAGGACGGGCACGGCTGGCCGGAGGCCAGCATCCCGAGAGTGGCCCAATACGGGTTGTTGGCAGCGCGCAGGCAGAGCTGCAATAGTCACTCCTCCCACCTCGGGAAGGTCAGCAGCGAGGCGGCCCCGGTGATGGAGGCGACCACGGCGTGGCCCCAGCGCGCGCGGCGCGGGCCGCCCCGCTGCTCGAGCTGCACCCAGTGGTCGAGCGCGAACGCGCCGAGCGGGACGCGGAACACCTGCGCGAGGGCGGCGAGCTCTGGCCGAAGGACGGAAGCGGGCGGCCAGCAGAACCTGGCGACGTGCGATATCGTGGAGACCGCGCGCGTATTGCACAGTGCCGAAGAGTGGCTGGCGGGAGCGGTTCCCCGCCCGATGATTGAGCCCGAAGCCGAAGCTTGGCAACAGGGTCCGCCCTGCGCGTGCCCAAGGAGGCTCCAGGACCCACCCCGAGACACAATTGCAAGAGCGACGGAGCGACCTCGAACGAGCTCCATTCGGGGGCCACCTGCGAGAGTAGCGCCGAGACCTGATCAGCTAGCTGCTTCGAGAACCTGTCACTCAGGGGGGCAATCTTTCATTTAGAGACCTTCAGAACCAAATTGGCCATCCTGTCAGCCAAGGACATGACCCGATGCATGTGGTTCAGGTGGTGGAACGCCCTCAGGGCGCCCCCGACGTCGTCGGCGCAGGCCCGCAAGAGGCCGAGGCGCGACGATTCCACTCTCGAAACCAGGTCGATCAGAAAGACAGACGTTCCCAAGGCGAAGGGGCTCCCGGACAAGGCACATGCCCGGATCATGCCGCTCCGAATCCAAAAGATGCGCGCGAAGGATCGCCCAGGTGCGACAGAACGCCCTCGACAGACGCGTAAAGAAAAGAGACGAAGCGCACGAACGCATCGGGCAAGTGCATGGGCCGAAGGGAGAGGAGGGGGAAATCCTGGTTGAGCGACGGGCAGGCCTGGCCAAAGTCCAGGGATCACAGGACAGGGATGTCGGACGAGCCGCGAGGGGAAACCGAGAGGGCCCTGCCGGGGGCGTCTAGCTCCAGGATGTTGCCAACATGTCGACCCCGCGCTGGCAGGGTGGTGCAAGGGCCGGGAGGGCGGGGCGGATGGCCATGTTGACTACTGATGAGATAAGCTTACGATCACAGTTCCGCAGGCCAAGGACTCGGATTTTGTCTGGGGACCTCGCGCAACTGCTATCCCTGAGAGCTCCAGGCCGGTCATTCTTAGGCATGAAAATCTGAATCGTGCCACTGGAGCGCGAGAAAAGCTCGTGGCCTCCAAGCACCCACTCCAGAGCGCCCCATAAAATATCGACACCCCGCACCGAGGCAGCCCGGGCAGAATGCGGGAGAGCATCGGGCCCACGGGCCGAGTGGCGAGCAGCACGCATGGCACGACGTAGCATAGAGCGGGGCGGAGGGGCAGGTGAAGATCAGCAGGCACGTCAAGTTGGAGGCGACGTATGGGGACAGCAACAGTTGCATGCCACGGCTTCTTCTGAAAGGCGGGATCCCAAAAGCTGGTGAGCTCGCGCAGACGCTCCGACGGCCCGCCGAGGACCTGACCGTCAGGCGCACGCACTCCAGAAAGCGAGACCTTGCGATTCAGTAAGAACCAAAACCGAGCACGTCTTTCAAGAGCGCGCAACTGAGCGCGAACCTGCGCACAGTCACCTTCGCGTCGCCTGCGCCCCTCAAGTTCAGCCTTCGCGGTCTCCGCAGCCTCAGCCTGGACCTGGTCAACCCGCGCCTGGAACGGTTGGGGGTGGCGGAGTTCGACTTTCCCACTGGCGATGAAGATCGCGTCGGAAGCGACAGGGTGCGAGTCCAAGAGCCCGGATGCGAGCCTGAGGTCCTGGCGCCAGACGACCCTGGCCGGCGACGTGGCCAGTTGCGCGAGCGTGTGAGGGTGGCGAGGCTGGCTCCGAAATAGGGTGCCACGAGTCTCGGCCGGCTTCACAAGCGGGGACAAGAACGAACGCGGCCTCGCAGAGGCCCTCCAACCGCTTCTTGAACGCAGGCTCCAAGAAGATGTGCTTGGAGGCGGGGCGAGAGCCCCGAGGCCTGGCCGCGCGCAGAGCAAACGACACCACAAGAGCAGCCTGGTCAGATAGGTCCCGGACGATAACCATCGCCAGGGGGCCGAGCGCGCCGATCTGAACGCTAAACTGGCAGATCTGCCAACCAGCCAATGAACAGAGGAACCGGTCAATTGTCGAGCAGACAATGTTGTGTTTCGTAGCGCGTCGAGTCCTCGCGCTCAATTTCTGTATGAAGCGATAGGACACCACGCCGCCTCGGTGCACGTGCGCGGCGGCATCGGGCCGTCCGACGGACGGCGGCCGTCGGGGGAGCAAGAGCCAAGGACTCGCGCGTGGCAAAATTGGCGCCCCCGCAGGCGAAGGTGGCACACACGCCGGGAGCGGCAGCGGCAGAAAGTCGTGAGCCCTAAGATCATGATTATGAATGTTGAAGGTCTCGAGCGTCCGCAGGCCATCGCACGCTGCGACTTCAAGCGCTCTCCCTGGAATGAGCGCCTTCTGCCCTGTTGTCAGGGGCGAAGGGCCACGATGCGCGAGAAGGGGGGTGACGACTGCAACGCCACCGCGCATGCGGCCAACCAAGGGGTCGTCGCAGAAGCTGGAGAGCACCGTGAGACCAGAACCGACGGGGCCGAGGAAGGAGACAAGCTGGCGGCGACCCCGGCGAACCTCCTGGAGGGCCACGACCATCTCGAGCGGCTTGAGGCGGAGGAGGCCCCCGCGCTTCAGCGTGGCCTTATCCCCGCCAGCCTGAAGAAGGGCGTGGGCGCTCCGGGGCACAACGCGGAGAGCCAGCGCGCGCGCCAGCGGGGGGAGAAGGAAGACGGAATCGCGCGGCCGCACTAAAGGTACCACCGACTCGGGTCAGCGGGGCGCGGGAACTCCTGGACCGCAGTGCGGAGCGCGTCAACGGACATCTCGCGCCTGCGCAGCTGGCGCGCATCCCGCGCCATCTTCGGCGGGGGGTCGCCGTGGAAGACCTCGATCTGCATGGTCGTGTCCTGGCCGACAGAGGGGGCCCCGCGCTCGCGGTCGGAGAGCAGCCTCTTGCCTGGGTACTGTGCGTCGACGAGCTGGCGGGTCATGCGCAACGTAACTTCAAGCTTGATCTGCTTCGGACACTTGTCGGGGCCGAGGTGGAGGCGGCGCCGACCGGAACCAAGACGGTCGATCCAAAACTCGCGCCGGCTGTTGGCGCCCTTGAAAGAGGAGTCGCCTTGGCCGCCTTGCGGGCGGCAGCGCCGATGGGACCAGCAAAACGAACTTCGCAACGGCGGGCAGGTGTTTCACCGCGCTGCTTGATCTCGAACTCAGAATCCCCGAAGCCGATGCCGCTGCGCCGCGGGCGGAGAACGGCAACAATGGAAGCGCTAGCCGCGGGCTGCTGCGAAACACCGACCACAATGGTGGAGTCAACGTCGCGAGCGAAGGAGGACGGCGTAAGGGGAGACGGACGGGGAGCTTCCGCAGCGACCACGAGTTGGCGCTGGAGCTCGCTAACCTGGGCCTGCAACGCAGCGACGGCTGCGTCATGGCCGTCAGCTCTCGAGGAAATAGAGGCGATGAGCTCCGCGTGCTCGTCAATCTGCATCTCGAGGCGCCGCGTGAGGGAGTCCATCCCCGGGGCGAGGGCGGACTGGACCTGCGACTCGATGCCCACCGACTGCTTGGATACCTCATCCTGCATCTTAGAGAGGGGTGGAGTGGTTGTCGCCGACTGTCTTGGACACGGCGGAGCTGACCTCCCGCGTGATGGCGGAGCGCATGGCAGCGAATTCCTCGCGGCACAACTGGCGGGGGATGTCGTCGGAGTAGAAATCGCCATCGTCGTCAGCGTTAGCGGGAGCAGGGGCAGCATCATCGGGGCCCGCAGCAGCCTGCCTGCCTTTTGCGAGAGACGAAGCGGCCACTGCCCTTGCCTCTGCCACTGGCGCGCTGGCCTTCAGCATCGGGAAAGGTGGGGGCGGCGCCGGGCTCGGCTGCGAGCGCTGGGAGGACACCCTGGGCGCATCAGGGACGCCGTCGGCCATGGCAGGAGGAAGCCTGGGGAGTCCGCCGACCCGAGACAGCTGGATGGCCCTGAGAGGAGGGCTGCCAAACTCAAAACGGGCCCGTCCCGATCTTGAGCCAAAATGGCAACGGAGGAGGAGGGGGAGGAGGAGGAGGATAAGAAAAACATCGGAACTGGAACCGGAACAATCGCGAAGCGATATCGAATACTACATCCCTTCTCTCTCAGAAGTCCCCGAGCGCCAAAACGGGCCAGGAGCCGAAGAAATCTAACCATACTCATGGCGTCCAATGATGACGCCATTACCACCGCAGCCCATCGTGCTACATGGCGAAGTCGATGGCCAGGAGCCGCATAGCAGATGCCACGAAACGAGAGAAGCAAAGCAACGCCCTCTGCTCAATCAGCGCTCCTTGCCCATACCTCCAGCCGACACAACCAGACACGCATGAACCAACTGTGCTTGCTTTTGGCCATGGTGGGCGCGGCCGCAGGCGGAGCAGACGGCGGGGCCGCTGCCGCAGCCATCTCGGCCGTGGCCACCGCAAAGCCCCGGAACATGGCCCCCGCGTCCCACGGCGCAGCGGGTGGCGGTGTCAGAGGAGGGCCGAGCAGAGAACGACCGAGGCCAATCAGCACCGCGGATGGCATTGACATCGCGCATGAACCGCGCCCGCGCGGCACTGCCGTGCCAGCCTGCTGCCGCGCGCGGCTCCTGCGCCTCCGTGGCCTCGCCGACGGGCCCCGCAGCAGCCCGTTCATCAAGACGACCTCGCCGATGGACGAAAGGCCGCGGCATCCGACCCACGGCGCGAGCGGCGCCCGCGGCCGCGAAACGCAACAGCTCCTCCCGCCGCTCCAGGATGTACTGCGCGTCCGACTCGGCGCTAGGCTCCGCGCCGACGACGTCGCTCCGCAGGCACTTGTGCTCGGCCGTTGCCGCCGCCGCCAGCCGCGTGCCACCCTCAGAGCCCTCAGCTGTGGATGGGGAACACCCCATCAGCTGGAAGCTGCGCCCTCGGCGCGTCGGGCTCGGCGTCGGGCTCGGAAACCTCCACAACAGCGCCAGCGGAAGAGACCGCGAAGGGCTCCTCCACGCTAGTGAAAGCCAAGGCGCCACATGTACAGCGCACTCCGCGCGCGACACCGTGCTCTGGCGGCATAGCTCGGGACGAAGTCGGCCCCCTCCGGGCGCATCCGCGCAGGCGTGCCCAGGGCGCCCGAGGCGCGTGATGGGCCCTGTCGCCCGCCGCCTCGACGGCCATGCCCTCCAGCAGCGCCGCTCTGGGCACGTCCACGAGGCTCGCGAGCTGCCTCAGGGCATCCCCAAGCGTGTGCATGTGGCCCAAGAGGTCATCGAGGCGGCGGCGCAAGATCAGCGCCCCCCCCAAAGCCTCCAGACGCGCACTCCTGTCCCAGAGAGGGTCGCTGTCGAGGTCGAGATTGTGGACTGCCACGCGGACCGCACTGGACACCAGATGAGCGTCCTCCTGCAAAGCTTCCTCGCGTCGCAGCCGCCGAGCCAGATTGCTGGCAGATTTCCCCGCCCAGGCTTTCCTGGATTCTCCTTCACCGACTCACGCTCGGGCCAACGGCCCCGCAGGTCTCCCGTAGCCATCATCCTCAAGAGGACACAAACACCATAACGAAAGCCTCCTGTTGCACCGATCGTGAAGGCACCAGCTTGCTGGCTCGAGCACTGGGGCTGTCGAGCGCTGTTGTGGAGGAGGAGAAGGAGGAGGAGGAGGAGGAGGAGGAGGAGAAGGAGGAGGAGGAGGAGGAGGAGGAGGAGGAGGAGGAGGAGCGAGCGCCCACTGAGTTACCGATGGGAAGGAGGAGGAGAAAGGAGGAGGCGGAGGAGAAGGAGCGAGGAGGAGTGAGGAGGAGGAGGAGGAGGAGGAGGAGGAGGAGGAGGAGGAGGAGGAGGAGGAGGAGGAGGAGGAGGAGGAGCGAGGCGGAGGAGGCGGAGGAAGAGCGAGGAGGAGGAGGGGGAGCGAGGAGGAGCGAGGAGGAGCGAGGAGCGAGGAGGAGGAGGAGCGAGGAGGAGGAGGAGCTCCTCGGACTCCTCCCCACGAGTGGCCCCTTGGGAGGCCCTCCTGGGCGGGCAGCGCGCACCGGCGCGCCTCGTCCACCTGCAGGCCCTCGCCGTCCTCGAGGCCCCGGAGCCCGCGCAGGCGCTCCTGGGTCGTCGTCGTCGTCGTGGCCGTCGTCGTCGCTGTCGTCGTCGTCGCCGTCGTCGTCGTCGTCGTCGCCGTCGCCGTCGTCGTCGTCCTCGTCGTCGTCGCCGTCGTCGTCGTCGCCGTCGTCGTCGCCGTCGTCGTCGTCGTCGCCGTCGCCGTCGTCGCCATCGTCGTCGTCGTCGTCGCCGTCGTCGTCGTCGCCTTCGTCGTCGCGGTGGTAGTCGTCGTCGTCGTCGTCGTCGTCGTCGTCGTCGTCGTCGTCTTCGTCGTCGTCGCCATGTCAAGATGAAAACCTCGAACCCCCCAAGGAATCCACTTGGACGTCCTGTGGGAATCGTACAGAAAGATCCAGAAGATTGAAAAGGAAGCCGTAACGGATCCGCAGGAAATTGTGGGACACCCGAAGGAATCATCAGGAGCCATCCTCCCTCTCTTCGCATCGGGTGTGCGTTACAAGCCCTATCAGACAACTACACTTATGTGATTTTCGCATGGGGTAGTGCACGCCCGTACCCCTGCATCGCGCAGCGCTCTATCTTAGCACGCAAGCGGAAATTTGCCTAAAGAGTTTCCGCAAGTGGGCGTGGTAATTAATCCGATTGGAATCCTCCGAATGGAATCCAACTGGGATCCCATTGGAAACCTACTGGAACCGTGTTGGGATCATATTGGGATATTTCTGGGTTGCCATGGAGATCCAAGCGGAAAGCGGCTCGACTCCTGATGGTATGTATGAAAGCATAGTGGGACCCCGTTGGATTTCGAACTATTGGCATACGAGTGGGATCCGATTAGGGTCCTATGGGGTTCGTCTTGGAATCTTGTTGATATCATCTTTTTCTGAGTTTGGAGTCACGAAGGCGTCGCCGGTTCGGAAACGCCCGTCCGCGAGCCATCCTCGGACCCCTCGGCGGAGCCCACGGCTGCCACCGCGGCTGTCGCGGCAGCGATCTCCAGGGGGTACCTCTGGTCCACGAGGGTGCGCCAGCGCTCGAATTCCGCCTTCACCATCACCTCCAGCTCCTTCTGGGCATGGTCGGCATGGATAAGCTCGTGCTTTATCTCCTTGAGCCGGCCCATGCCGCGATGGTAGCTCTGGCTCTTCTCCTCCAGGATCCCTTTTATCCGGGGCTCCTCGGCAGCGATGAGGCCGCGCAGCGTGTCCGCGCGCTGCCGAGCCAACGAGTCTATGCTGGCCGCATCCTCAGCCTCGCGAAGCTTTCCCTTGAGGCTGTCAAGGGCAACCTGCACCTGGTCCATGGCATCCCTGATGCCACCGACTTCCTCGCCCAGCCTCTTGGCCTCCTCCATGAGCTCCCTCTTGGTGGTCCGCTGCCTCTGCAGGTCCACCTGCCAGATGTCGCCAGCGCGAGGGTCCTTCGCCAGGAACACACGGTAGGCCCCCGAGCGGCTCCCGCAGGCTGCGAGCTCATCCTCGGTGAGCGCAGACGTGGCGCGCAGCCACGCGTCCGAGGTCCGAGACCCGCCGCGGTCCTCCGACACTGGAGCCGCGGGCTCTGCCAGCGCCGCGGCGAGGGCAGGCCCGAGCAGCGTCCCGCCCGCACCCACGGCCTCGGCGGCCGAAGCGCTGGCCTGGGCCGAGCGCGGCCGCGCGGCTTCGCCGGCGACCGCCCCGGCCGGCGGCGGCGGGCGGGGTGGGGCAAAGGAGCTGCAGGAGGTCCGGTCGTGGTCCGCGGAGGCCGAGTGGCTCGGCGCACTCGACGTGGACCTCGCCGCCGTCGAGAGCGTGGCCGCGGCGCTCGGGGCCAGCGAGCTGCGGCCGCCGCTCGCCGCAAAGTCCGCCGCGCTGGCCGCCGCTCGGCGCGGCTCGCTGGACGCCGCGCGCCGCGGCTTCGCGACGGGCTTCGGCCTCGGCGCCGGCACCCTTCCGGACGACGACGAGAGGGCCGCGAGCGCGGACTTGAGCCTCTTGCACTCGCCCTGGGAGGCGATCAGCATGGCCTGAAGCTTCGTCTCCCTGGACGAGCTCGCTGGCGCCTTCCGCGTGGGCCGCGGCGGCGGCTGCGCCGCGAGCGCCGCGCGCAGCATCCGGCACTCCGCCTGGCACTCGGCCAGCGCAGCGCGGTCCGCGCCGCCGCCCGCCCCGGACCTGCACTGGGAGGCCGGCTCCGCGTCGTCGCAGAGCTCCGCCGTGGGGCTCCCGCGCGCGCTCTCCGGGATGGCGTCGGCCGCGCGCCCCCCCGCGCGCAGGCGCTCCCAGAAGAGCTCCCGGAACAGGCGGAAGGCCGCCACCGCGCCCTGCGGCATGGGGCCCACCTTCAGGGCGGCGCCGCCCGCCGCGCCGCCGCCGTCGTCCTCCAGGAAGTTCTGGATGCGCACCCTCAGCTCGTCGTCCGGGACGGGCGGCTCCCCTGCGTCGCCTGCCCCCCCGCCGGCGGCCAGCGCCTCCAGCTCGGCGTTCCTCCGCCTCAGCTCCGCGATGAGCAGCTGCGGGTCTCGCTCCTCGTTTACCTTCGCGGCCGTCCTCACGTTCGCGACCCGCTGCGCAAATCGACAGGAGTTGATCGTCTCGGGGAGGGACGCGTCGGCCGGATCCACTGTACACACCATCGCCGCTTTCGCGTTCCCGCCGAGCGCATCTTTCAGGAGCTTCGTGAGAAAAGAGTTCCTGTGGGGCACCACCTTTGCCTTCTTGCCCAGGGCGGTGATCACCTCGGACAGGTGGTGCAGCGAGAGGTTGATGGCTACGGCCTCGTTCATCAGCCCCTTCGTCTCCTGCGAGCCCTTCTCGTAGGGCTTCAGCCGCTCCGAGCCTGCCAGGTCCACGATCTGTATCTTCGACGTCCGCACCGTCTGCGTGGCTGGGTCGGACGCCTCGATGAAGATCGTGCAGACGCAGTGCGAGCGCGAGGACCGCTGGTTGTGTGCGGTCTCCGCGACGGCGCGGTGCACCTCGCCCTGGCAGTACTGCTGCAGCCCGTCCTCCTCGGAGGCGAGGGCCACGCGTTTGGCTCCGATCATGACCGGCTCCTCGCCCTTCCGCAGCGACACCGTGACTGGCGGCAGCGCCCTGTTGGTATCCGCCGCGACCCTTGCCAGGAGGTCCCTGCCCACCTCCTTGTAAATTTCGATCATGGACATGGAAACGCTGTAGAGAACCCCATCGTCGCGCGAGTCGATCCCGTCGAAGATGGAGCTCAGAGTCCGTGGGATGATGCCCCTGTCGCGCATGTAATTGGCCTTCCCCCCGCACATCGTGAAAGTCTTGCCACTGCCGGTCTGGCCATACGCGAAAAGCGTGCAGTTGACCCCGTCCAGGGCTCCAGTCACTAAGCTCCGGGCCACCCTATCGAAGACCCGCTGCTGCGAGGAGTCCGGCCCGAACACCTCGGCGAAGGGATACGAGAAGCTCTCCACCGACTCCGAGCCCCGCGCCACCAGCACATCCAGCGACCTACCCCCTGGCGGCAGCCTGACGCTGGCGGAGGGCTGATCCGAGGGCTTCACGCGCGCGAAGACGGAGATGAAATCGCTCCCCGAGGCCATCGCCGCAGTGGCTTTGGGTGGCTGGCTCCGCGGCCTGAGCCAGACTTGAACCAAAATGGCTACGGAGTCTTGTTGAAATCCGATTGGAATTCGATTGGGACCCCGATGGGATCCTGTTGGGTTCCGATTGGAATCCCATTGGGATCCGATTGGTATTGTTTTTTCTTTGAGGAGGAGGAGGAGAGCACGGCAACAAGAACTCCCACAACGCGGCTGCCACCACAGTGCGAGATAATCCAACGGCAGCGTGAAGAACAGAAACGAATTAAGGAATGCCCAGTGGTCGCCACACAAGCGCACGCCGCGACGTGTGCATCGACCCTGCTCGGCAGAGCCCCCTGGTCGGAAACCGTTTGGCCTCCTGTTGGGATCCGACTGGATTCCAATTTGGCATCCTATTGGGTTATCACTGGGGTCGTATTGGAATGCAAGTCGGATCCTACGGAGGCCCTGCCCAGATCATGCGAATGTTTTGGAATCATGCTGGGATATCATCGGGATCCTACTTGCATCTTATCCGACTCTCATTGAGACACCGTCGGGAACTCATCGGGGTCCGATGGGGGGTCCTCCTCGGACACGATTGGTCTTCCACTGGGCCCCAAGATGTCGTTTGAGAGCCTCGGAGGGGGGCCCGAATTCCTTCCCCCTCTTTTTGAACCATGGTGCCCAAGACGGCCCCAAGAGGCCTCCCAAACCCCACCAAAAAAGCCCCAACAAAACTCCAAGGCTCCCCCAAAAGATCCCCCGAAAGACCCCCAAAAAGGCCTCAACACAGCCTCAAAATGGAACCGCTTGGTGCTCCGATGGGGACCGTGCCGTGGTCATCGGACAGCCTTCTTTTGGAACCGCACTGTGCACTGGGATCCGGGGAGGGCGCCCGGAGCCTGGGGCAGAGACGCGTTACACCTTCACCGGACACAAGGGGGGAGGGGGGCAGCATCCTTAGGTCGGGCCTGTCCCCCTACAGGTTGAATTTTGGACGAGAAATAAAAATACCCCCCAAAATTCTCAAAAGATGCCCCCAAAATACTAAAAAAAAATAGTCCCCAGACTATCTTTTGACTATTTTTGAATATACCCCCTGTAGAGGGACAGGCCCGACTTAACAGTAACCCGCGGCATGCGGGGCATGCGGTTGCCGTGCTCCAAGGCTTTTGGGGGCGATGCGCTGCAACGCCTCCAGACCGCAGACCGCAAGCCGCTGGGAAGCAGCCCCCTCGCTCAAGATGACGCGGTAGACGCCCTCGATGTTGGTTTCGGGGCAGGGGTCTCAGAAGGAGGGGGCGAAGGAGGAGGGCGAGCGAGCAGGAGGAGGGGGGATGGGGAGCTGGGCGGGGAGGAGGAGCAGGACATGGAGGAGGAGGAGGACGACAAGGAGGGGAGAGACGAGGAGGACTCTTTCGTAGGAGGCCTCAGCCACGGCCCGCCGGAGGCAGGTGCTCTTGCAGCCACCGCGCCACGTTCACCAGGTGGTCTGCGTCGGTCTCCGGGGTCTCCAGCGCGTGGCTGTCCTCTCGGGTCGGGCGAAAGGGGGGATAGCAAAGGGGGGGTTTGAGAATCAGCTCTCGTAGCTGATGTTCCTGGCGCCTCCCGGCGCCAGGAGGCGCCCATGTATCGAAGAATGGGCCCCTCGGTGGGGCCGAAAGCAGCCGCATGCAGCAAATTTCGTAACCCCCCCTTTCCCAATCCCCCCCTTTCGCCCGGCCCGATCCTCTGGGTAGCACAGGAGCCGCGCCGGGACCCCCCGCGCCCTCAGGGCGTGGTAGTACTCGAGGCCCTGCGAGGGCGGCACGCGCCGGTCCTTCATGCCGAGCGCCACCAGCGTGGGCGTCTTCGCCCTGCCCACGTGCGCGCACGGCGAGGCCCTCCACAGGGCGCCGAGCACCTCGCTGTCCGCCATCGTGGTCCCCTCCTGGAAGTCGTACCTCCGGGGCGTGAAAACGACCACAGCCGCTGCTTTTCTTTTGTTGCCGCCTTCCAGCCCGCAGAAGCAAAGCAGTGGTTGTGGTCATTTTCGTTGAGCTTGGCACCAAGGAAATGACCACAACCACTGCTTCTTTTTCGGCCGGCTGGAAGGCGGCGCAGACAAGAAGCAGTGGCTGTGGTCATTTTCCCGTCCCGCAGTACCTTCCGACCCCGAGGCCCTCCACGAAGACCCAGTCCGGGATGTCCGTGGCCGTCACCTCGGCACGAAGGGGGGGCGGGCCCTGGAGGGAGGCAAGTCTTAAGGACCCCGGGGCCCCCGGAAACCTTCCAGGACGAGGACCACTGAAGGGGCCCCAGGACACAGAAATAAACACACATAAATCAAATATTCCCCATATTTTCCTATATTTTCTGGGTTTCTGTCTTCCCCCCCACTTCCTAAATTTTCTTATATTTTCTCAGGAATCGAAGATTAATTGTGTCTGTGTGTTTTTTCCTCTCCTGAATCACATCGGGTGAGGGCAAGTCGAGAATCTCTGAGATCCGGCGGCTCTGGATGACGTCTCGGGAGCCGCACCCTTCTCAGAGCGTCGCGGAACGCTCCGAGAGCGCTGCGGAGCGCTCTGGGGCGGAGCTGTCCTCGTCCTACAGCCCCGTCCGGCTCCAGGACCCCGCTCCTGCTTGCCGAGTCACCATGGAGGCCATGTTGGTGACAGGGTTCCGGATCGCGGCCGCGGCGAAGAGGTCGGGGTGCTGCCCGATCAGGTGTGCGGCCAGGAACCCCCCGTGCGAGCCGCCGACCACGGCCAGCCTCAGAAGAAGAAGAAGAAGAAGCAGTAGCTGCACAAACACAAACTTTGAGGGGGGCCCGGCGCGGATCCAAGAGATCCGCGCGGAGCGCCAAAAGCTTCTGTGTATGGCGTGCTTTCTTCTTCGAAGCCTGCCCTCGTCGAAGCCGCACGAGGACACGGCCTCCCGCACCGCCTCCACGCAGTCCGCCACGTCCTGCTCGCCGACGCGGCCGGCGATCGACTCGAGGGCCGCCTGGCCGAAGCCGCTGCTGCCGCGGTAGTTCACCTGCAGCACCGCGCAGCCGAGCGCCCGGGCCAGGAACAAGGCGTGGGGGTTGAACCACGTGGTCCAAACCTGAGTCACTGAGGGGCAACGTTTGGGGGGGGGCGTGCTCAGGAGGGGGGTGGGGATATCGAGCTGGAGTCGGCGATGCATCGCCGATAGATCGGCAATCTGCCCCCGACAGCAAAGCCGCATGTTCCTGGGCGGGGCGGGCTATCGGGCCCCAACTGCGATGAGCAAGCGATCGGGGGTCGCCGATATTGGTACGGCCGGACCTAAGACAGAAGGACATCCTTCACGAACATGAGACCTTCCGCCGGTCCAAAACGAAGAACATTCGAGGGTGCCTTCCCCCAGGATGCACAAGAACACCCAACAAACATGACGAACATCAGGATACCCTTCCCGAAGCTTCCTCGATCTTATGTCTCGGTCCGACCGTACGGAACAAATAGGTACGATGCCCAACAGCAGCCGTTGCCCAGAACCGGCAGCGCCCGCAGGCGGCTGTTCTGTCTCAAGCGGGCAGCGGCCATGGCGACACCGACGGCGAGTCCTGCTCGAAATGGGCAGGAACTGTTGTCTTTCCGTACGACAGGTCCGTGCGGCGTCGGAGCGCGCAAAGGTTGTTGACACCGCGCCGATCGTTCATCCTTGAATCGGTCGCGGCCCCGATCGATCAAGGTTGAATTCCGTCAGGCCCAGTGGTGTCACCGCGCCCCTCGATGCTGCCGTGCCGTAAACTTCAGCCTTGAACGCCTTCGCCGGCGTCGTCAGCGCGCCAACGCCGCACGAACCTACCATGCACAGTTCGATCATACAGCGCACCGAGTGCGGGCCGCCGTGGATGAAGAGCACGAGGCCAGACCGCTCCGCCGCGTCGGGCTCCAGCAGGATGGCGTCGAAGGCAGCGCCGCCGTCGGGCGGCAGCAGCGGCCGGCGCATCCAGCGCATGCCCTCGGCGACGCCTGCGGCCCGCGGCACCCCGGCCACCTCGGGAGCGGCCCGGACACCCCTCCGTGACTACAGCATGCGCGGACGATGGGGAAGGCCTGCTGCAAGACACCTCCTGTGGGCCCCCGGGGCCTTCGGGTGAGAAGAGATGTCCGTGGAGCAGCACCCGCTGGCAGGCTAGCTTCTCCGCTGGCGTGCCCACTGTACTCCCCGTGCCCCTCGTTCCACGGCCCCCTCGACTCTGGGCACGATATCCGTGCCCCGAGGCTCCCTCGGCTGTGCGAGGCGGAGGGGCTGTAGGGCGTCCGGTGCTCATGGCGCACCTGGCTGGCCGCTGCCTCGGTTCCCAGGGATTGTCGCTGGCGGCGCCCTGCCCGGGCTGAGACTCGGGTGGCACGGATGTGGTGGGAGTCGGCGGCGAGCGAGGGGGGGAAGTGAGAAGGCGAAGGCCCTCTCAGAAGGCGGCGGGCCTTCTCAGAAGCCCTCGCGCCTTTTGAACAGCTCTCTGCGTCTTCGGGGAAGGCCCGGAACACTTCTCGGAAGGCCGGGGGACTTCGGAGCCTCCTGAGAAGGCCCGCCCCTTCCCACTTCCCCCCGGGCAGGAGGGCGGGTGGGAGTGCGCAAGACGGCCGTCCCTCGGCGAGGGGAGCTTGGCCCCGCTCGCCCTACCACCCCCCAGTGGGCCTAGAGAGGGAGGGCCACGAGGGGTTACGGGCAGAACTGGTAGTGAGGATGCCCTGCAAGGATGCCAAGGGCCTTGGACGCCCATGCCAAAGCTTTTCGAGCGGGACTGGCCATCGAGACCTGTTGAGGATGGACCGCAGATGACCGAAGAGGCAAGGATGCAAGGGTACCCTTGGGAAGTTGCCCGTCATTGGTGTCGGTTTAGACTGTACCCCATCCTGGGTCTAGACAGGGAGGATTACGAGAAGTTAAAGCGTCCAACATGACCCAGGATAGGTCCAATATTACTCAATGGAGTCCAAGATGGCGTGCAATGTCGCTCACGATAGCTCGGGACGGCTCAAGAAATACTCCAACAAGCTCCAAAAGGCCCCAAGACCGCTCCAAGGCGGCTCGAAGTGGCAACGGAGCCTCCCAAGGACGCCCGCGAGAGGCCCACATCCTTCCAACACCTGTGTCCATGATGGTTGCCCTCTCGCCCTTTCGGTTCCGATGGGCTTGGGAGGCCTCACGATGGCTCCAATATGGCCCAGTAGAGCCACTGGGGGCCCAGGAAGGCCCAAAGACGGCCCCCGAAGCGCCCGGGAACACCCTAAGATCACCCCAAGAGGCAATCTTTCCGGCGTCAGGAGTGGCGACACTGTTAGGGTGTCCCCCTGTCGCTCAAAGCCACATTGAGTTAAACAATAAGTGTGTTGTCCATTTGGTTTGGGCATCTCGGGGGCATCCTTGGGAGGCTCTTGGGCCAAACGTGGCTCCAAGCTGGCGTCAGGGAGCTCAAGACGGCCTCCAAGACGGCTCAAGATATCCCAAGATGGCTCCATATTGCCTCCACGATGCCTCGAGGAGGCTCCAAGAAGACTGCTCCCAGACAGCCCGAGTGGCAAGGTATCCCCCAAGGATGCCCCCAAGAGGCCCAAACCTTCCCTCCAACACCTAAGCAATCCCATGATCTCTTGCCTTATCGCCGTTTCGCTCCTAGGCTTCAAGATAGTTCCAAGATGGCCCAAGAATGCCCCAAGCGGGCTCCAAGACTGCCCTTAGAGCGTCCCACGAGGGCACTAGGATGCGACGTTTGGGGCTCTAGAGGGGCGGGGCTGATAAGGGTCACACCTTCTTGGATCGATGTCCTCCAAGATGGCCTCCAAGTCTTCCAAGAGGACCGCAAGAGGGCCCCAAGATCAGAAAGCACTGTTGGTTGACTCCTGGGCCTGCTCAGTCTGATCTAGAGCTTCGTCTTGACGGCTGGTCAATGCTGCTCGCCTGGGTGTCGTTTCTGGATGGGCTGGAGGGGACGCGCGGAGCAGCGCGAATCTATGGCCCCTGCTGGGCGCCCCGTGCTTTGTTCGATGATTTTCGCGTTCTCGTATGTGCTGGCCTCTGACAACCCAAGACGGCCCAATAGCCTCCAAGAGAGCTCAAGACCGGACAAACGGCCCCCGAGACGGCCCCCAACGGGCCCCAGAACGGTCCACGAGAGCTCTGAAACCGCCCTGCAACGCTCCAAGAGGCCACTAGACTGGGACGGTCCAGAGAGGCCCAGACGGCCAATAGACACTGAATACGGCCCAAGAGGCCTCACAGAGGCGCCGAGAAGCCCCAATCAGCCCCCGCGAGGCCCCTCAGATGGTCCCTCAGATGGCCCCGAGAGGCAGCCCCAGGAAGCCCCCAAGAGGCCCCAAGAGGGGCCCAAGGGACCTCCTCCTTGTCCTCCTTCTCCTACGCCACTTCATATGTCTTTCTCCCCCACGTGTTCCCCCAAGGGTTTCCACAACGGCTGGGGGAAAGCATAGTCCAGCATCTTGGCCAGGCTTTGGCTCAGCGTTTGGCCGCATGGGCCCTTCCAAAATCAGGGGGCGGCGGTGGTTCGCCGTAGGCGTCTTCGATACGATCGACACAAATTTGCGTTGGGTGATCTGGAGGGTGACCAGCACGACAAGTTCGCGTCACGACGACGCCAGTGCTGGTTTCGGACACCGCGCGAATCGTTCAACCATGAACGACCACGCCTTTTCGATGGCGCGGGTCGCTCGACATCGGTGGGTTTGGGGGCCTCTGGTGGCTTTCCACCTTGGCCCGTGCTGGGGTCGCCGCCATTCACAAGTGGGGCAGGAGCAGGGGAAATCGGCATCAAAACCACCATCGCGAGGAGCCAGGGAGGAGGAGGAGGAGGAGGAGGAGGAGGAGGAGGAGGAGGAAAAGGAGGAGGAGGAGGTCTTCATGGTGGTGTGGCCCCCCTACTCTGCGGCACCCCGCTGGAGGAACCTCCTGCGTTCAGCTCGGGGAAGCATCGTGGGCATTCAGCGGACCACCACCACCACCACCACCACCACCACCACCACCACCACCACCACCAACCCTATCTGATCTGGCAACGCGCCCGAGGGGGTAATCATGGGGGAGGGTGGGAGACTTCTTAGAAACACCCTGCTTCTTAGAAGGCGCCGGCCCTACATCTATAGACAAGGCCCGCGCCTTCTTAGAAGCAGGGTGCTTCTGAGCAGCCTTGCCCCCTCCCCCATACCCCCTCCCTCTGCGCGTGGCCGACTTGTGCAACCCGACCCATTGTGCTGGAGATGGGGCCTCCTGCCTCCGAAAGAGCGGGCCAGCTTGCACCAGCAGAGAGCAGAAGTACCCCCCACACAAAAAGGACCCCCACAAGCGAGGCCGAGTAGCAAAAGCACCAAAGGAAGGAATCGAACAAGGCAGGGCTGTTTAGCATACGCCAAGGGCCGTGAACACCACTTGTCGGGGTCTGGGTGGTTCTGAAGGGGCCCTGGGACACACAAATAAATCCACACAACTGATCGGATCCTCCATCGTTTCCCACATTTCCCGGGTTTTCGTCTTCCCCCCCCACTTCCCATATTTTCCTATATATTTTTTTCGGGGGCATCGACAATTATACATTGTGCTTGTGTGTTTGTTTTCCCCTCCCGAGGCTCTCCCTCCCCCGAACCCCGGGAAAAGGGGCGCTTGCTCCGCCCTGGGCCACCACGGCGCACGGCTGCGGCGCCGGCAGCTGCAGCTCCGGGCCCGCCCCCGCGGGCGGGCGCAGGGCCAGCGCGCAGGGCCGGCACGGGTCGGACCACGCGAGCAGCAGCCCCTCCCCGTCGCTGGCGGCGAGCAGGCGCACCGAGGCGCCGGGCGTGGCGCCGCGTGGCGGCGGCAGCCGCGCCGGGGGGGCCGCCGCGCCCGCCGCGTCCACGTGCCAGACGGCCTCCTCCGAGCCGAGCGGCGCGTTGAAAAAGATGCGCCCCCCGCACCAGCAGGAGCGCGGGAGCGCCGGGTCGCTGGGGAAGTTGTAGATGCCGGCGAAGGCCGGCCGCTCGGGCGGCTCCGGCACGCGCACCGCGTCCACGACGCAGCGGGGCGCAGCTGCGAGCCCGTCCAAGACGAAGAGGGCGTGGCAGCCGCCATGGGCGGAGGAAGGACAAGCGACATAAGCATACACTTGCGCTCCGCGCGGATTTCTTGGTTCTGCGCCGGACCCCCCTCCCTGGCGCGCGGAGCGCGGCGCGCGGAGCGCGCCAGGGGCGGCGCCAGAGGCGCCGCCGGGGGGGGCCCGGGCGCCGATCCAGGAGATCCGCGCAGAGCGCCAACAGTGTACGTTTCTGAGGGGTTGTCTTCCTCGCATGGGTGTCGAAGCCCTCGGGCGAGCCCAGGAACGCCAGCCGCGCCCCGTCGGGCGATGGCCGCGGGCACCGGGCCAGCTTCAGGTCCGCCGTGAGGCACGGGTGCGGTGCCTCGGCCTCCGCGCCCCGCCGCTCGTCGGGCAGCGGCGCGGCGTACAACGCGCAGGGCCGCTGGGCGCACAGCAGGAGCCCGAGCCTGCGCGCGCCAGAGGGCCAGCCAGCGTAGACAACCCTTGGTGGGCACATTTCCCACCACCGCTACCGTATGTAGGAGAGGGAGGAGGAGGAGGAGGAGGAGGAGGAGGAGGAGGAGGAGGAGGAGGAGGAGGAGGAGGAGGAGGAGGAGGAGGAGGAGGAGGAGGAGGAGGAGGAGGAGGAGGACGAGGACCTCCTCATCCTCCCTTGGCCTCCGTTCTACATATGGTAGTGGTGGTGGAAAACTTGCCCATCAATCCTGTCGCGCCAGAAGACGGGCTGGCCCGGCGTCATGCCTTCGGCCACGCCGTGGAGTTTCCGAACGCGGCCGTCGGCGACGCTCAGCACGAAGAGTGCCAGGAGGTGAGTGCCGCCAAGCTTCTCGCCCCAGTCCTCCTGGTACCAGCTCGCACTGCCAGGCGGCTCGGCGCAGGGCTCCCGCGGCGGCGGGTCGTAGAGCCCCGGTGGCTCCGAGGCCTTTTCCTCGGCCACGTAGACCACATGACCTTCGTCGGGGGACCAGCT